GCGGCGGCGGCTGCCCACTGCCCAGGCCGCGCGTCCCCTGCCACGGCCATGTTCTCCCGTTCCCCATCGGTCGGGGACGTTAAAGCTCTGGGCTTCGGCCTTGCGCCTTTGGGGCGGGACGAGAGTGACGTGGTGGGGGAACTCGCTGGCGGCCTGGGCTCGGCGGCGGCGCGTGCGGACGCTGGCCTCAGGAGGCTGTATGTACGAAACTTGGGGGGCTGGGGACCAGCTGCGAAGTCCCTTGCCCAGCAGCATCGTGCGGACATCATTGTGGTTCCTGAGACTCACGTGGGGCCTGCAGGCTCGAATGATGTCCTTCATGATTGGCGGAAATCGGGATACACGGGCGTGCTCCCGGCGGCCTATTCGACGGCTACGCGAGAGAAGTCAGGCGGTATCACGATGGGTGTGCGCAAGCGTTTTCGAGTTTCTTCTCTTCGCCATTTGGCTGCGGCGCCGCAGGATCAGGTCGGCCTCAGGCAGCTGGACCAGTCGGAGCAACCAGGCCTGGATTTTCGTGACATGGTGGCTGTGCAGCTTCGAGCCCAGCATCAATCCCTGCTGGTCGTGGGCGTGTACATGACCACGGCGGTGGGTGCACGGGGCAACGCTCAGAAGTTGGCCAATCTTGGGGCGCTGTTGGCGACGATCCAGGGCATGTGGCTTGTCGTCGGAGATTGGAATATGACGCCGCAGGAGTTGTCCGCATCAGGGTGGCTCGAGCTATCGCAGGGGGTCGTCGCGGTGCCGAGCAACACGTCTTACACGTGCACGGCGGGCACGGGGCGCATGCTGGATTACCTTGTTATGTCTGCGTCGGCCCAGCACCTGCTCGCCTCCATTGAGGCGGACTTTGAGACGGTCGAAGAGGCAGGCAAGTCGCACTACGGATTGGACATTTCGCTGAATTTTGATATGTCGAGAGCTATGGCATGGACCCTTCGACGTCCTCGTGCTTTTGACCATCCTGCGCGCCCAAGAAAGCAGCCAGACCCTGACAGCAAGAGGTCTAAGAAGCGGGCAGTTCGCTCGGGCCACCAGGGGGCCGAGGCGAACCCAGTCAAGGTGCCCACTCCCGCTGCTTGGGGGGCCAAGCGCAAGCTTTCCATCAAGAGCCCGCCCGTTCTGCAGTATGTTCATCTGGAGTTTGAGGAAGAAGATTTCTGGACCGACAATGAAGAAGACGACACTGAGGCCCCGCCTGACGATGCCCCAATTTTGGAGGAGATCGAGGAGGTGCCCGAGGGCGAGGACTCCACCAATGCCAGTTTGCAGTGTGATTGGACTTGTTCGGCGAAGGATTTGTTGTGGCACAGTCTTTCGGAGCAGGTGGCACGAAGATCGGAGCCTCCAGCTTTTGTCGAACAGAGCCTCGGTTTCCAGGCCGACCCTGCTGCTGCCCGTCGTCTCGGCGAGGCTTTCGCTGAGTGGTCGCACACCATGGAGTTGTATTATTGTGAGTTGTATCAGGTGCACCCTCAGGAGCGTCGCCAGTATATGGGCAGGGGGAAGCTGCAGGAGCCAGTCAAGCAACCAATGGATGGTGGTAAGCCGTGGCCCACTACGTCTGACGCCAGCTCGCGGTGGTGGTCTACTGTTGCCAGCCACCTGAACGAGCTTGCCCACGTCAGAGCTGGGCAGAAGGCCTGCCTCGAGCGCAGCATCTCAGAGGACGGCTCTCGGCTTTGGCCTCGTCCATCCCTGTCTGTCAGATCGTTCCGCTACCTGAGCGTAGGCGCGCCAGGTGGGTTCGTTCGCTCCGCACTCTGTCGGGCATCACGAGCGAGTCCTTGGCCAAGTTGGCGGAGGCGGCAAGTAGAGCCGCTCATCAGGCGCAGCGCGCGGTGGCCAGGCAGCGTCTGCAGGGCTACCGCGACTGGGTCTGCCAGCACGCGATCAACGGCATGGGGGTCCTCCACCGCCTCGTGAAGGACCCGATGGCGGAGGTCAGTGAGATTCGCTATGTGGAGGTCACTACTTGCGACGGTGCCTCGCTCATGGAGGCGAAGCGGGCGGTCTGGGACAAGCTATGGTCGCCGCCGAACTTCAGCAGCACCGACGCCATGAAGGTGCTCCAGGAGGCTCGCGCCCTGGCGAGGGAGGAGGAATTGCCTCCTCTGGCGCTGGACGGCCTCGAGGCGGCATTGCTCGCAGTCTCGCCGTCCAAGGCGGCAGGCATCGATGGTGTCCGCCAACGGGATGTTTGGTGGCTGCCTGAGGCGGGCCGCCAGCAGCTGCTGTCTCTTTTTCAGCAGGTCGAGTTTGCCGTGGCTTGGCCATGGCAGTGGCTCACAGCCATCATTGTTCTGTTGCGAAAGCCTGATGTGCGCAAGGACCGCGCCATCGGCCTTCTCACCTGGTTGGGTCGACTGTGGAGCCGTATGCGATCTCGTCCCGCGGAGGTCTGGGCCGAGGCTCGCTCGGGTCCTTGGGACGCCGCGGTTCGAGGGAACAGTGCTCTACGGGAGGCTTTGCTCAGGTGCTATGCTGACGAGGCTGCTCTGTCGTCGGTGTTGCCTGAGTATTGCT